GCAGAGGTCGAACCCTGAACAGTTGGGGCAAGTATGGACACAAAATTCAAGCTTGATACAGCTATGACTTTGGATTGTCATTAAATATTTGACACAGCATAGGTTTCTGACACAGGATGAATGTGGTGTAAGAACTGGAAAAAATTTAATTTACCTATTATGGTGGAATATCCATAAACTAAATTGTTTGTTAATTTCAATATATCAAAGAATATGTAGAATTCAATGTTTGATGTAATGTAATAAAGTTGAAATTTGGACCGTTTTTGTTCAATGTGGACCAATTTGGTAACATGTATAAATAATCAAAAATCTAAATACATGGGAGCCCATTTAAATACATCATAAAGGTATTAAAATAGAAAGTGACATCATAGTCATGGCTAAAAATAAACAAAAATCCTTAATCAGCAACATTTAAAGTAATATCTAAAAATAAAATTCCTTTGTAACCATAAAAGCCCATTTAAATACATCATAAAGATATTAAAATAAAAAATGACATCATAGTCATGGCTAAACATAGCAAAAAACCCTTAATCAGCATCATTTAACAGTAATATCTAAAAATGGAAATTACATCATAAAGGTATTAAAATAGAAAATGACATCATAGTCATGGCTAAAAATAAACAAAATCCTTAATCAGCATCAGCAACATTTTATAGTAATATCTAAAAATAAAATTCCTTTGTAACCATAAAAGCCCATTTAAATACATCATAACAGATATTAAAATAGAAAATGACATCATAGTCATGGCTAAACATAGCAAAAACCTTAATCAGCATTATTTAACAGTAATATCTAAAAATAAAAATTTCTTTGCAACCATAAAAGTAAAATAGAAAATGACATCATAATCATAGCTAAAAATAAACAAAAATTTTTTTTATTGGCAAATTTTAAATGGAGTTTATTATACTAAAATAATAAATTTGCAACCATAAACATGATAAAACCCCATTTAAACACATCATAAAAGTATTAAATAATTCAACTACATCATAAGGCTATAAAAATAGAAAATGACTTCATAGTCAAGGCTAAAGGTAAACAAAAAACCTTCATCAGCAAAATTTTATATTGGCAAATTTCCAATGAAGTTTATTACACTAAAATTGTTGGCAAATTTCCAATGCATTTATTAACAATAAAGTTATTGGCAAATTTCCAATTTACATAATTTAAAAGCAGTGTAGATGAGATATTTAAATGAGTTTGAATTACCAACCTTACACTGCTTTTAAATAATGTTCTTTACTCAATTATTTGTCTATTAAAATGGAAACCCTTGTTTTTTAACCTTTTTTCCCCTTATTCCTTAAACATTAGAGCCATACCCCCCCCCCCCCCCCCCCCTCCCCCCCAAAGCCAATTATTTCTTTCCAATGTAACCTAAATTTCCAATATACATAATTTTAAATTTCAATTCCTCATGATATATAACCGTATCATTATTATTTTCTTTCATATATAAATCTGAAACAACCATCTTTAAATGGAAAATTTTAAAGAAAAAAAAAAGGAAAAAAAAAAATCCTACCCCCCACACATTTTTTCAACCCCCTTTTGATTCATCATCCCCCTCCTCAATCACAACCTTCAATTTGTGGTATGGTACATTGCAATACAATTTCACAGAGATCCATACACTTGAACACAAGTTTTTGTTGCAAACTAAAAAAATCCTTATTTTCGACCAATATTTGGCCCCTTATTCATAAATGTTTGAGCAATTAACCCCAAAACTCAATTCCTACTTTCTCTTCGTGATAAAAAATAACTAACTTAAAATGTAAATTTTAAACAAAAAAAAAAGGAAAAAAAAAAATTACCCCTTTTTTGACCCCCGCCCCCCTTATGATTCATCACCCCCACCCCCTTTCCCCCCATACCAAGCTCAATAACAGCCTTGCCTTTGTGGTATGGTACCTTGTAATACAATTTTAGAGAGATCCATACACTTGAACACAAGTTATTGTCTAGAAACTAAAAAATGCTTATTTTAAACCCCCTTTTAGGCCCCTTATTACTAAACGTTTTGGGCAATTACCACAACACTCAATTCCAGCTTTCCCCTTGTGAAATGGAACCTTGTAGTAAAATTTCAGAAAGATCCATACACTTACACACAAGTTATTGTCATGAAACTAGAAAAATGCTTGTTTTTTGCCCCCTTTTGGCCCCTTATTCCTAAAATTTTGAGGCAATTAACCCCAAAATCAATCCCAGCATTGACCCTTTGTGATATGGAATCTTGTGGTACAATGTCAAAGAGATCCATATGCTAACACACAAGTTATGTCTGGAAGTTACAAAAATGCTTATTTTCGGCCCCTAATTCCTTAACTGTTGGTACCATAACCCCCAAAATCAATCCCCACCTTCCTATTGTGGTATTGAACCTTATGGTAAAATTTCATAGAGATCCATTCACTTAAACTAAAGTTAGAGTGCGAAAACCATTGTGTATTCGGACGACGACGCCGGACGATGACGACGACGACGACGACGACGACGACGCCAACGTCATACCAATATACGACCTCAAAATTTTTTTGCGGTCGTATAAAAACCAGTTGTTGGCATGACACGGGTTATGTTCTTCTCATATATGTTATGATGGTATGATACTAAACCCCTAATGGGAAGGATTGTGCCTGATATTCATATGATGAAGACATAATCTTTCAATCAGTTTAATTGAAGTCTGGAGCTGGCATGTCAGTTAACTGCTAGTAGTCTGTTGTTATTTATGTATTATTGTCATTTTGTTTATTTTCTTTGGTTACATCTTCTGACATCAGACTCGGACTTCTCTTGAACTGAATTTTAATGTGCGTATTGTTATGCGTTTACTTTTCTACATTGGCTAGAGGTATAGGGGGAGGGTTGAGATCTCATAAACATGTTTAACCCCGCCGCATTTTTGCGCCTGTCCCAAGTCAGGAGCCTCTAGCCTTTGTTAGTCTTGTATTATTTTTAATTTTAGTTTCTTGTGTACAATTTGGAGTTTAGTATGGCGTTCATTATCACTGAACTAGTATATATATTTGTTTAGGGGCCAGCTGAAGGACGCCTCTGGGTGCGGGAATTTCTCGCTGCATTGAAGACCTGTTGGTTACCTTCTGCTGTTGTCTGTTCTATGGTCGGGTTGTTGTCTCTTTGACACATTCCCCATTTCCATTCTCAATTTTATTAAAAAGACCTTCTCATTAGGCATGGGTTCCAAAACTTGTACTGTAACTGGGTATTTTTTAAAGTGAAATCAAAGATTTTTTTCCGTTGAGAAATTAGATCACACAGTAAAACAAGGATATATGTCATATTTGGAAACTTATACCAGCTTATGATTTTTTTTTGGAAATGGTCTTAACTTTTATCATCACTTAACTGTGAAATGAATGGTTGTATCATCTTTACATCATATGTTATATATGACGTATTTTTATTGTTCACATCTTACTGTGTTTTATTCCTAAAGTTTCACTTTGATATCCTATTTAATTTCCAACATGCATTTTAACATTAAATCTAACTTTGCAGACTGATGAATAAATCTGAGATAAAATTTAAGTTCATACTGTCAGACTCAATACACTTGAACATTAACAGTTTCACTGAGATCATTAAACTACATAATTTGTTTAGTTTAAACACATCTTTTTATGTGTTTGAGGATAAAGTTTAATAATATTGCACAAGTCATTTTATAACTTTAGAGCTTTGTAAGATTGCTGAACTCACAACATATTACATGTGCCACATGTATCAAAGACAGGGCACTATAAAACAAGCAACATTAACTTATTTCAAGAGGTAAAACAAGTGCAGCGTCTTTCTGATAAACCTGGCACCATCTAATGAGGAGGTGGTGCTATCACAATTAATTGGCCTGCACCAGACAATCTCCTGAACTTGATCTTTCTTGTGACTTAGCATAGCTTGTAGGTCTATGCGAGAAAAATGTCTTACCTTGATCTTATCTGGTTAATGCTCAACAAATGCCTTACCTGTATCTTACCTGAAAGTTAGCAAGAAGTATTACATCACATTTGTAGGGCTATGCCAGAAAACTGTCTGACCTGTACCTTACCTAAAATTTGGCAAGGGTATTATGCTCTCAGTTTGTAGGTCTAGTATGCCAGACAATTGATTGGCGTAGGTCTTACCGGTAAGTTGGAAAGGGTAATATACTTTCAGTTTGTAGGTCTAGTATGCCAGACAATTGATTGGCGTAGGTCTTACCGGTAAGTTGGAAAGGGTAATATACTTTCAGTTTGTAGGTCTAGTATGCCAGACAATTGATTGGCGTAGATCTTACCGGTAAGTTGGAAAGGGTATTATACTTTCAGTTTGTAGGTCTAGTATGCCAGACAATTGATCGACATAGATCTTACCGGTAAGTTGGAAAGGGTATTATACTTTCAGTTTGTAGGTCTAGTATGCCAGACAATTGATCGACATAGATCTTACCTGTAACTTGGCAAGAGGTATAATATCACAGGTAGTAGGACTGTGCCAGCCAATCTTCTGACCTGGATCTTACCTGTAACTTGGCTAGGGGTATGACATCACAGTTAGTAGGACTGTGCCAGACAATCTTCTGACCTGGATCTTACCTGTAACTTGGCTAGGGGTATAATATCACAGTTAGTAGGTCTGTACCAAACAATCTTCTGACCTGGATCTTACCTGTAACTTGGCTAGGTGTATAATACCACAGTTAGTAGGACTGTGCCAGACAATCTTCTGACCATGATCTTACCTGTACCTTGGCTTATATATAAAAGGGGTATAATATCACAGTTAGTTGGTTTGTGCCAAACAATCTTCTGACTTGAATAATACCTGTAACTTGGCTAGGGGTATAATATCACAGTTAGTAGGTCTGTGCCAGACAATCTTCTGACCTGGATCTTACCTGTAACTTGGCTAGGGGTATAATATCACAGTAAGTAGGTCTGTGCCAGACAATCTTCTGACCTGGATCTTACCTGTAACTTGGCTAGGGGTATGATATCACAGTTAGTAGGTCTGTGCCAAACAGTCTTCTGACTTGAGGCATTGTAGTAATAAAATCTGGATGTGTTTGGATCAAACAATTCCCACCACTGGTTGTTATCTGTCTTCTTACTAAAAAGAAAAAAGAATTTGGTCAAAAACTCTTATGGTTGCAATACTTATGGTTTGTAATTGAGGGTCCACATAAATATATGTAGTAAAATATGTACAGTGGTGTGTATTTTTTCCAAAGTAATACAAACATTCTGGAAAATTTAAAAGTGTTCATACTATATCTGATTTGCACTTTAAACAATTTTGACAACTTGCATACAAATTCATCAGTTTTTATTCATTTTGTCTTTAAAAGATCAAAATAAAACAGAAATATTCCAGGCCTTTTAATTCTCAAGACTACATTTTTCAATTCATTTTAAGCTAAGAATAAAATTTGAAAGAAACAGACATCAAATCTAGACACAAGTGTAAAAACATGTAAAAGGAAAAACCCAAAGCCAGACATTCATTTTAAAAATTGCATATTAAATTATTTTTTATTTATTCTATTTAAATTAAAAGAACAATTTTTATTGAAAATGAGGTAAATAAATATTTTGGATTTATTTTAAATTTGAAAATGATTAGTTTTTCAAAATAAAAATGGCTATTAAAGTGCAGTGGAAATTTTTATTTGTACAGCAACAAAGAAACACAAATCATTAAAGAATCCTGTATTGATCTGTTAGCCGAGATACTCTTGAGTTCAGCTTTTTTTTTTACAAAAGATAAGGCTAATAAAAACAAATATATTACAAATTATGCAGTATTGTGCATATCTAGAAACAAACAGATACTAAATAATTGATTCCCACAAATCAATGGATCTGATACTTTGATAGACAGATGAAAATGACATCAGCATCAACATGGCTGGGTGTGGAATCAGCTGTTTTCTTCATTACAAAACAGATGTTATGGCAGTTTTTTCTGACTACAAGGAAATATTCTCACTGTCTGAGGAAATTGTCTGTGTTTTATCTTATAAGTAATTGATACTTGATGAGTTTGCATGTCTTCAAAGTCGCCTCATGCATGCCTCAAAACAAAGATACGGATAAAAAATGTAAAATGTAAATATTATATATGGCTATGTCAGTTGTGACAGTCAGATTATGCAACTTAGTTCTTAATTAATATTCTTTCTCTCTCTTTTTTCTCTTCAGTAATTTCTTTTTCATATCTTTCTGCATTTTCTCATTTTTGCAGAAACAGAATAATTTATACAGCATTTGTTTTTCTCAGATCATTCATATCTTTATAGTTTTCCAGTCTTTAAAATAGATATCTCTTTACATAAGTCATGTTAACTGCAAAGTTATAGCAATATTTTGGTCTCTTACCTTGCTTACACTTTTCTAAATGTTTAAATCTCTTAAAATGAGAAAATGTAACATAACAGAAGTGGGGGTTTCAGGGTTAATCTGATTCAAAATGAAACTGAAATATTTTTTTTTTTTCATTTTAGTTCGAACTAGACATCATTGAGATGGGAGCGATCTCTGTGGGCCCCGCTGTAAATAACGTGTGGTAAAAAATGTGAATGGATAGGCTGATATGAAGCACTTTATTAAGTTTTGACCTTGAACTTTGACCTAGGAAGTTGTATAAACACAATGACACACCCTCTGGTGTTGGTTAATAAACATGTCAAGTATAAAATGTATAAACTATGAAATTATAACGATTCTCTACATATAAAGCAGACACAATTTGTTATGGACGGACGGATGGACGGACGGACAGACAGATTGATCACTATAGGGCGACCTGCCACTAGGCGGGGCCCTAATAAAAACTGAGACATATCTCTCAAATATTTAACATGAATCATTGAAAATGCAGTAAAACATTCTTCTCCCTACTAGAATGCATTACAACTGTACAACATACATTTTGCGTATTAAAGCCAGCCTTGGAAGCTTGAATAATAAATACCTATTACTGGATAATTTAGACAGATATTGAATTTTCTACAGGATATGGACATACCTACCAAGTAAATTATGTTCCTGTTTATCTTAATTGTACCACATCATCCTGACAAATTATAGCAGACTAGGCCTAAATTAGATACTGTATTTCAGCAGAAATGGATAAAAACATACTAAATCTTTGCGCTACAGGCAAAATGTATTATAAATCCTTCTTCATTCTTCCTACTAAATTCAATCAATGTTCACTAATAGATGTTGATTTGACAATTTTCTTCCAAATTTCTCACTCAAAATTTAATAACGAAAAGGAAATGAAACATTTAGGCATCCTGTAAAACCTCTCACTTCATACGAAAAATATGGCTGAGTAAGAAATTTTCAACAACTTAAAATGCTGAAGCTTCTAAAATATACACCCATGGTAATTGCAGTATTTTACACATTGCCAACTGATATTAGAATTCTTGATTTAATAATGAGAAATTTTGATGGATATATTTTTTATTACCATGTTTTCTATGTGTTTAATCAAAGTATATCTATCAGATTTATTAATCCCAGAACACATTATTTTTACCATCTATCTTCATTATATAAAGCTGAATATTCTAAGTATTCTACTGAGAACTATTTTGCTGTTAATTTTCCAGAAAATGCCTACCTAATAACTAATGCACTTTAATTTACTGTCCTGATATATATAAATGTGGTCTAAGAAAGATAACTCCCACATAAAATATGTGATTTAGTTTTCCACATGAAAAGCCATTTACAGGACTTCCAGAGTAACCTGTACCCCTATATTACCTAATTTAAGATAAATTAAACATCATCTTAGAAACAGGCCCAACTTTTTGTGGTTACAAGTACTATTGTCTGTGTATAATTACTTCTACTTTTTTAAATGAGGACATCAAGCAATACAATCTGCTCCTTTTCTCATCATATATCTAATTGAATGTTTATTTGTATCCCAGGTAGGTAGATATCAGGGTATTCCCCGAATTAACAGAATATGTAATAAATGTTCTTCCAATACTGTCGAAGATGAGGCTCATTTTCTATTTGATTGTAACAAATTTGAGGATGATAGAAATTGTATGTTAGCTAGTATTGCACAATATAATTCTTATTTTAATCATATGAGCAGTCAAAGCAAAATTATCTGGTTATTTAGTGTAGAAAATGTTGAGTTACTTAAAATAATATGTAATTTTATATTCAAACATCTTCCTTAGTGAAGATTAGTTAAAGGAAATCTATGTGTGTATATACATTTGATCGGACATAGAAAATTATATTCATCTGAATATCACAAACATACTAGCCGATTAAAAAAAAAAAAAATAATTGTTAAGATATATTATTTATTCAAATGTTCTCTTATATCCTTGAGGCATCGTCCCCTGGTATCAACTGCATTCAAGTTACCTATGATGCTTCCTTGTTTGCTTTTGATACAGGTAGGAAAGAGACATTTACACACATTTTACATGCCTATGGCCCATAAGGTATCGCCCCCTGGTGTCAGCTGCCTTTAGGAAACCATAATGCTTTCCTATTTGCTGCTGACACAGGATGAGTCATGGACATGTTTAATTTCTACTTTCTTTTTGGCTAATTATTATATATTTAATTGATCCAACTTTTTGTGTACTATACATATGTGGATATCTATTTTTCTTTTTTTCTTTTTGGGCTGCTTGTTTGTTATCTATATCAACCACACTTGCAATAAAATGCATTAGTATTAAAAAAAACAACATACTATAGATTCTTTATCTACGTATTCTTTAAGAACTTAAATAGTTCTCGTTTAACTTTTTTTTTTTTTTTTTATCTCATTGTTTGTATTGTATTATGAAAAATTATTGATGTTGTAATGTTTATGCCCTTTGGGGCCCATAATTGGAAATAAAATATCTTATCTTATCTTATCTTATGTATATACAGTTTGCGTAATTACGTGACATTATCCATGATAAATATCTCTATTATTCTTACAGAATCTTACTTCTGCAATACAAACTACACATAACAATCATATAAATAGTATTGTCTCATGGTCATAATATCTGACAGTAATTAATATAAGTATTTACTGTAATATGAACAATATATTCTGCAGATGAATGGAGAAAGGAATTTTTATCTTTTTGTAAGTATCATTTATGGGGGGCAAATTTTCATGTCAAAATTACAAAATTCAGTGTAGTTAATTTTGAATTTAGCTTTAATCCATACATCTTTAAAAAAATTTGAAAACAAATCATTTTATGGTATTGTGGAATGTTGACGTTGACACAAACATTTGTTTTTTTTTTTTTTAACTATAACTTATTGGATTGACATGTATGCAAAACAAATATTTAACGAAGCATATAAAATTTTACAAATTCTAGTACCTAACAATTTAGAGGAAGTCAGTACTGAAAATTTGATGTTACCCTCAAGGTCGGTTAAGGTTCATACTATATGACCTAGTTGTAATAGGTTATGTACTAAACAGACAATATTTTACATGAAATCAAACACATACATATCATAGCTAGTCAGAAGCTATCATATCTGTCATCCATCATATGATACAATGTAAAGAATGGATGCTTTGTTGTACATAATGTGCATCTGTATAATCGACAAACACAGAACAAACATGTTTATTGCATACAACTGTCTAAATTCATGCATTTTTGTTGTAAGTATCAATTTATGAAATGAACAACATGGTGAGCCAGAGATGGTACAGCCCCAAATCTTTTATTGATGCATATATTTGAAAATTCCTCGAAATCATACGAAATATAATATAAATACTGGAGTAAATTCCTGTCACAGCTAGTAAGCAGAAAATGAACTAATATTTCATTTGAAACAAGCTTTTGATGCTTTCTTAGAAATCTAGGTTACCCACTTCTGATGCTACACATGTCACTTTAAAGTTTAAGAATATACTTGTAAATTCAGAAAAAATAAAATGCTCCGCAGGGCGCAGCTTGATACGACCGCAGAGGTCGAACCCTGAACAGTTGGGGCAAGTATGGACACAACATTCAAGCTTGATACAGCTCTGAATTTGGATTGTGATTAAATATTTGACACAGCATAGGTTTCTGACACAGAATGAATGTGGTCTAA